TCCATTTATCATGATGTTGCTTATTGGTCCAGTTGTGAAGATTTTTGTTTTATGCCTCTCCTGTGTAGAATCTCCTATTTCCTGTATCTCATTTCGTCTTCTTGGTTTGATAGAATAATATATCCTTTAGTAACTTTTTGAGAAAGAATGCAGTTGCTTGCCTGGGCGTCGACTTCTAGGCTGGGAATCATTCTCATTCAATAATTTGAAGACCTTATTCCATTGCGAGCTTGCTTCTAGTGTTGCTGTTGGAATCTAAAAACATTCTGATTTCTCATCATCTGTACTTCGTGTTGTATTTTTCTCTGTGGGAGCTTAAAGAGTCTTTGTTCCTGTAATATTCTTAAATTTCCTAGTGAGGTACCTTGATAAAAGTCTATTCTTATTCATTGTTCAATCTGGAAACTCTTACCTTTAAATTATAGGAAATTTTCTTTAATTATTTATGCTTGATGCCCTTCCCTCCATTGTCTCTTTCTTTCCAGAACTTCTTATGTTCAGGTTGGTGCCACCCAGGACTTGTTCTTCATTTTTCTCTCTCTGCCCTTTTACGCTACTTATTGGAAAATTTCCTTATCTTTAGTTTTTAATCTTTTTATTGTATTTTTCATTTCTACCATTATGTTTTTAATATCTAAAAGGTCTTTTTTTGTTCTTTGTTCCTTTTTTATAGTAGCCTGTTTTTGTTTCGTAGATGTAATCATTTAGTGATAGTTTTTATCTTTTCTTTTCCCTGCATAATCTGCTTCTTCTAAGCTGCTTTTTTCTGTTTGTTTTCTTCATACATCTTGAGGCTTTCTTCGAATGTCTGGTAATCTGCTTATGTTTAGATGGGGAGATTAAAAAGCTCTGTTCACAGGAGTGGGACTTGTTGACTTTGAACTTCATAGTAGGTTGATCTAGACATTTGTTGAAGAAACTGATGTCAATATTGTTTTCTTTTTGAGCTGGTTAGATTTCTTAGAAAAGAGTCTTCTAATCTTTGGTCTAGTAAGTGTCTGGCTGCCACTGGTGGGAAAAGAGGACTGGTGGTGGGGAAGGGATATGTATATGTTCACTTAGTTCCCTTGTTTGGAATGTTACTCATGCTCTTAGCGATTTCTCGAGTACCTCGGTTCAGAAACTCTTTATTTACCCTCCTCAGAGAATAAACATCCAGATTTCTGGTGGGAGAAGTGCTGTTGCCTGGAAGCATAGAGTTGAGGAGGGAATCTAGGAATTCTGTTCCTCGGTTTTTACCCTGTCCTCCTTATTTTAGCTGCCCTCGCCTACGCACCACTCACCTCCAGTTCCAAAAGTACTTGATGCTATAAATTCTTTAACTTTTTAAGGATTATGCAGTATAATTCAGATTAACTCAGCTTTGAAACCTCAGCAGTTTAGGATTCCACTTTCTTGTATTTGCTAGGTCAGTTACCATTTGTACCTCGGCTTTCCAGTTTTAGAAACTTCCAGTGCTATTTTCTCTCCTCCCATTCTTCTCTCTCATGTAGATATGTGTGTGTGTATATATATATATATATTTGTGTGCGTGTGTTTGTCTGTTTAGTGGGATTTCAGAAGGATGTACAATTGTATGCATATGTCCAATCTACTATGTTTACTATGTTAACCTGGAAACCTCCTTGGTTAGCTTGTAAAGCCTCACTCACCTTTTGTAGGCAGGGATCACCTGATCTTTGAAGACAGCTCTGACACAAAAACAGAGACCAAATGAAACAAAGGGAAGAAACAGGAGCTAGAAACAATGACAGTATTGACAGCAGAAGGTATATAGAGAGCAGAAGACAATATAGAGATAAAAGATGTTTGTGCATGTGTGCATATGTAAAGAAAAAGATCAATATGCTACAGAAAAGGAACATTCAGATACTAAAGGAAGAACCCTTGGAAATTAAAGGTGGCAGTCAAAATAAACAGTTGAATAAAAGAATGGGAAGATAAAGTATCTCAGAAAACAAAACCAAAGGATAGAGACGAATAATAGAAGAAAGATAAGAAATTTTAAAAATCAGTCCAGGAAGTCTAACATTAATCAGAAAGAGTTTTAAAAAGAAAGAACAGGGAAATATTTGATGGAGGAAAAAGTTATGGAAGAAATAATAGAAGAAAATTTCCCGGAACTTCAGGACATGAGTTTCCAGATTGAAATAGTTTACCTGACACCCCGCTCAATCCATTAAAAAATAACATCACCAAGTCTCAATGTTGTGAAATTTCAAAACACCAGGAATAAATCTTTCAGAGAGAGAAAAAAGCAAAACACTTAATAAGAATCAGAAATCAGAATGTTAGCTTCTAGAATACCTTCAAAATTGAGAAAAGGGTTTTCAATTTAGAATTTCATACTCCGCCAAATCGTCTATCGAGTATGGCATTTTCGTACATGCAGGGACTCAGATTTACCTCCTATATACCCTTCCTCAGCTAGCCACTGGAGCATATGTTCCACCAAGACAGAGTAAAATCAAGAATCTGGAGAAAGACACAGAGTCCAGGAAACTGGGGACCTGATTCAGGACTGTGGTCAAGGAAAGTTCCAGCATACCAGCTATACAGCAGTGGTAGGGAACAACCAGTCCAGACTGAAATAGGAGAGAGTGTTCTCCAGAAAGGGGCTTTTAGGGGGAGGGAAACAATCCTGGTAAATTATTTGCATTTTATTATATAAAATTTTATTGAGGCCCTTTTGTAGAGTGGTTAGAGTGAGTTCATTAAGAATTAGCGATAGAAATGGAGAAAAACTGAGAAAATACCCCCTTACACATGTGTGTACACACAAAAACCATGAAAATTAAAACTCCAGGACAAACTAAATCAAATAAGAAAGGAAATATGATCATAGTATAGTCTTTGGCTCAGCAGTGAATAGTACTTAACATTATCATAATAGTTAATTGTTGAAAATCCCCCTCCCCACCCAAAAAGAGACATACTTATTTTGAAAGGATGTGGGTGGGGGGAGGGAAAAGAATATATGTGACCTAAATCCCTACCTATAATAGAAAGATAATAGATGATGTCTAAAATTCATAAATGAAGAAATTAAGAGCATGGGGCATAGTATTTAGAAATATGAAGATAGAGTAACAATTCAGCTAAAGAATTAAGCATTTGCTAAAGTGGTTGCAGGGGAGAGGGGCAGGGGGAGCCTTTTAGTATTATTTTGACTTTTTAAACTGTCATATATATTTCACTGAATCTATGATGATGTCACTGAATGAATGATGTACTTATATTTTATGCACCTTTGAGAAAGAAAAAAATGCCAAGTAAACTAACATGCCACTGATTAGAAGATACTTCCCAATTTCAGAGATATTAAAATGTGAAAAGTCCATTGAAGAATCAGTGAAATGTTTAAGTGTATATATTACTTTGATTAAAATAAAAAAAATTAAATGCATTCCTACTTTATTATGATTCTCATTTTCTTCTCTAAAATCAATTTTCTTATGTGTACATATGCTTCCTGACTCTTGCTCTCACTTAATCACTTTCCAGTCATGATGAGAATGCGTAAAGAGGAGACTATCACCAGTAACACAAAGATCACAGGCGTTAAGAACCTGTATAGGGACAAAAGAAGCAAAACTGAAATTAAAAGGCTTTTCCCCTTAGGGAAGCTGCCTTACATTCTCTCCATGCCCTGAACTCCTTTTTTTCTGTATTTAATACCACATTTTCAGCATCTAAGAATTATGAGCATTTTAGAACAATTGTGTAGGATCAGATTTTTTTTTTTTTTTTTTTTTACCATAAACCCAAGGAGTGCCCTTAGTACTGCTGTGCTGTTCTCTGTAAACTTTGGATCCTGAAGATGAGAACCTCTGTAGTTAGTAATTACTTAGAAATATGCATAGCAAAGTTATATTGTCTAAAAGAAAGGTTATACTTGAGCAACACCATTCATATTTTAAGTGTTCTGTTAATTATTTGGGTCTTTTTAAAACATTTGGAAAATACTGAAGAGCTGAAAGAAGAAAATAAACATCACTCATAACTTCAGTTCTTTTAATTTGAATACTTAGTGTCATATCTACTTGTGCGCACATCTGAGTAGTTTATATCTTTTTTCATTTAAGATAATATCCTGAACACTTTATGTAATATTTTGAAAGCATGATTTTAAAAATCAGCTTTAGTAATGTATAGTTTACATGCAGTAAAATTCATAAATTTGATATGTTTTGACAAATGTCACAATTATCATAAACAACATTTTCATCACCCCAAAAATTCCTTCATGCGCTTTGTGGTCAGTCTCCTTCCCCACCTCCTGGCAACCACTGATCTGTTGAAAGCATGATTTTTCATGGTGTTGTAATAGTATTTCTTCTATAGAATATATCCCTTTGGTTGGACTTGGGTTATTTCCTTTCTTCTTTCTATTACAAGCTGTGCTGTGGTGAACACTGTTGTATATCTTGGAATATGTCTTTCCATGGGATAAATTCTTAGAAGTGAAATTGTGGACCACATAATGAGAGTCTTTAGATAATTCTTTAAATATTATTGTGGGTTTTCTCTAGGTTTGAGTATTTCTGCACTGTGTCTGGTCTAGGGATGGATTAGAATCCTGAGGCTTTGATAGGAGACCTTGAATCAGCCTTCAGCTGCCTGGCAGATTCCAAGCCTTCCTATTTGATTACCATTGTTCCCATGGGAGATTATTTCCCTGGGGGTGCTGCACATAATTTATATTCTATTTTGAGGCTATGCCTAGTCTATTGTTGAAGGAATTTTTGTTATAGATTAGTTACTGATAATTCAGTGTAACCCATTTCAAATAGGGAGGGTATAGCTTTGTAAAATGAATGGCTCATTCTTTGTACAGTAGTACTGTTTAATACTTGGGCTGGTGTGGGTCTGCCTGGTAGTTCATTGCTAAACTAGCTGATTGCTAAACTAGCTCAGGGGCTGGTACTGAGTTGGCTCTCTTAATTATTTGATTGAATGGATTAAAACTTGCATTTCTTGATTTTCATTGCCTTCTGCAGGTGGAAGAGATTAGAAACTCATGATGTTGTAATAGAGTGTGCCAAAATCTCCCTGGACCCTACAGAAGCCTCATGTGAAGATGGCTATTCTGTGTCTCACCAAATCTCAGCACGCTTTCCTCATCGTTCAGCTGATGTCACCACCAGCCCTTATGTTGACACACAAAATAGCTATGGTAAAAAGTGACTTTGGTACTTATCTGCTTTACAACTTAGTCTCTGGACAACATTGTTTATTTTTTTTCCCTAGAGTAAGAGTTCAGGTATTAGCAACTTTTTCCAAATATTTACAATTCGAATTTGCTTCCATTTTTTTCCTAGTTAAATCCTCCAAGTTTTAGAGGTAATTATAATTCTTAAAGTCCCACGTTCTTGATTTCCTACCTGATAGTATGCCAGCAGACTTGAGGATGTGTCTTCCACACATTAAGAAAAATAAAATGGGTTCAGGTATTTGATTTCTAGGCCCCACCTCATAAGGGAATCTTTCCAGTTTTCAGACACAGTGAGATCCTCTTGTCTATAGCATTGTCCCAGTTTTAATGAATCTCTACAATTTAGAATTAGATTCATATAAAAATCTAGACTTTGTCTGTAGGTAGCACTTAACTAAAGCCGTCATTCAGATTGTGCTTAACTAGACATCAAACCTTACTGGACTTTATTTTAAAGAACCTTTTTAATATTGTTACTTTGTCCCTAAGGATGTCAGGAAGGCACTTAGATTTGTTAAATATAGAATTCAATATTATCAAATGGTCTAAAGAACCATAATTTATTATCAGAACAATCTAAAGTCACACATTAACCCCACGTATTCTTCCCCTTTCATTTTAGGGAGTGCTACTTCTACCCCTTACTCCACTTCTCGGCTGACGTTAAATACGCCAGGGCAGCTACCTCAGACTCTGAGTTCCCCATCAACACGGCTGTTAACTGAGCCGCCACAAGTATGCTGTAAAATCGTGTGCCTGCTCTCTTCTCTGCTTATGGTGAAGCTGACCACTGGGTCAGGATTTAGTATGTGGTTGGAAAAACCTCACACTGCTTGTCTTAAGGGTCAATTATATTAACAAAGGATCAGTTTTAAGGATCAATTATATTGCCACTTGGGTTCATTTTGGAATCTAGACTTACAAAATATAACTTGTCTTTGATAAGCTTTCACAAGATACCTTTTTACAGTTGAAAAGGCTGAGTTTGAACTGAACATTAGTTCGTGGATATAAACCTTGTGGATGACCTAGTACTTTATTAACGTATGTTATTAACTCCCTAGGCTACTCCTTGGAGCCCATCTATGGTTTGTGGTATGACCACTCCTCCAACTTCTCCTGGAAATGTCCCACCTGAGTTGTTACACCCTTACAGTAAAGTCTTTGGTACAACTGGTATGTATGTCTTAGCTTGGATTTGTTTGGTTGATTTTGGCCTGACGTTTTTGATAGAAGGAACTGTCTCTTAAATCTAATAGTTTGGGGGCCACTTGCAGTAATAAACCTTTTTTTTTTTTTTTGACACTTAATGCAAACCTCTGGGGCTCTCAGAAAATGTAAAAACGAATCTTTAAAAAACCAAAACAAAACAGAGACTGATCTAGGTCCCCAGAAGTTAACTTTAGCGGCTTTATTTGTAGTAATAGTTAGGCTGACAAAAACCAGAAGTTTTTCTAATAGTTAAGTCATATATATCCTGCCCTTATCTCTCAGCAGGTGGAAAAGGAACCCCTCTGGGAACCCCAGCCACCTCTCCTCCTCCAGCCCCACTCTGCCATTCGGATGACTACGTGCACATTTCACTCCCGCAGGCCACAGCCACACCCCTCAAGAGGGTATGTGTCAGCTCGCCTGCTATTCCTTTGCCCAAGCACAGTGAACTGCTTGCTGCTTCACTTTGTAAAGCCTAGTAATTATGCCAAATATATTTTTGAGCTAAAATGTGGTGGGTTTGAATCAGAACAATTGAAAATAGGCTAACCAGCGGGTCTCACTGTGTGGTCTGTAGAAACCTGGGGTTTCAAAAGTCTGTTCTGGGGAGTGCACTAGGTCAAAACTATTTTCATAGGAAGACTAAGCTGTTTTGAGCCCTTTTTACTTGCTGACATTTGAAGGGTGAAATGGAGGGTGAAATGGCTGGTGCCTTACCATGAGTCAAGACAGGCACCAAACCATCCTAGTAGATACTGCATTCTTTCCTGCCAGTTTAAAAAAAGAAAAGGGAAAAAAACTTAAGAATATTCTATGTAAAGCAGTAGAAATTATTAATTTTATTAAATCTCGACCCTTGAGAACATACATATTTAATATTTCGTGTGTGACAAATCGGAAGTACGCATAAAGCACTTTTACTGCATACCTCAGAGTATGACGGTAATCTGAAGCACTCATCTGACTATTTTGAGTTGAGAGCTGAACTAGTGGCTTTTTTTTTTTTCATGGAACATCAGTTTTATTTGAAAAAATGACTGACAAACTATAGTTATTCAGACCTGGGTTTTTAGCAGGCAATTTCTCAAATGATGAAATGAGTTTGTCATTTTAAGATAAACAGTATTTGTTGCCAATGATAAAATTCAACTTCTAGGTGAAAATTAGAATATTAAAAAACTTTTATCTGCCACTATGAGCTTGATAGCTTCCCAGAACTTTTCTGATGAGATTGAAAAGTCTTGGGAAGCTTGGTTAAGAGTATGTATGTGGTAACTATATAATGAAATGTGTTAACATTTGGAACATCTGCACAACTTGATGAAACAATATTTTCCAAGTGATCAGTGTATGATGTTACAGAGTCATGCGTATGTAAAAGGTGCATTCAGAGTCTAAGATGGTTGTTAGTTGCCATTGAGTTGGCTTTGACTCCTGTCAACCTTATGTATAACCAAACAAAGTGCACAGAACAAAACGCGACCCAGTCCTGCGCCATCATTGGTATGTTTGAGTTCATTGTTGCAGCTATTAAAGTATAAGTAGACTAATGAATTTTAACACAGTATGAAAATTGATATAGTTTCAGATTCTACATTGTAACTAACCTTTAAGAAACTACCATTTGTTGCGTTTTGGTGTGGCATCAAAGGAGATAATATGCAGAATTATCTGAAAAGTCTGTTAACATACTCTTTTTGCAACTACTTACCTGTGGGGCACCAGATTTTCTTTGTATCTTAAACCAAAACAACATATTGCAACAGTTTGAATACGGAAGCAAACAAGAGAATCCAGCTTTTCTTTTATTAAACCGGATATTAATGAGATTTGCAAAATGTAAAACAGTTCTACTCTTCACTACATTTAGTTTTATTTGGGAAAATAAAGTTATTTTTCATAAAATTTATGTTATTTATGTTAACATGCAATGGGTTTGTTATTTTTAAGTGACTTCAATAAATATTTTAAAAATTTCTTCATTTAACTTCTAATATAGGAACTATCAATAGATATAACCTACAGAAACAAAAACGCTTGGCATTCTCATTAATTTTTGAGAATATAAAGGCATTCTGAGACCAAACAGTTTGAGAACTGCTGGGCTAAACTTTAAACTCCTTTATAAAAATGTTGAAAATTAGGATATTTAGGATGTTTCTCTTAAGTCAGAGAACATTTACAAAATGTTTTGCCTTGTGATGTAAATGGTACTTATCTTTTCAGGAAGAGAGAACAGATTCTGCAAGGCCATGTCTACACAGACAGCACCATCTTCCTAATGACAGAGGATTAGGTAAAATCTCTGTGGGTAATGGTAGACCTTGCTTGTCTTTTCTCCTTGGGTTGTATGTGTGTAGAAGCAAGGTTAAGTGGAAACAAGGAAATTCTGAAATCTGTAAAACTCAGAAGCCTAGAGACAATGAAACAAGTAATTAATTCTTAAAAGCCAACCAACAGTAACATCAAAAAAAGCTTTTAAATTATTGCAATGAAATGATTGTAAACGTTTTGACCTGATCAAACTGTGTGATTTTGTTTGTTCTCTGAGACATTAAAAAGTGAGAATTTTATTTTCTGTGGGATTTTGTTTTGGTATCTTTAATTAAATTGAGTCCCTTGGTGGCGCAGACAGTTAAGCACTGAACTGCTAACCAAAAGGTTGGAGGTTTGAACCCTCCCAGAGGTACCTTGAAAGAAAGGCCTGGCAATCTGCTTCTGAAAGGTCATAGCCTGGAAAACCCTATCAAGTGTAGGTCTGCTCTGCACATGGGATTGCCATGAGTCAGAATTGACTCTACTGCAGTGGGTTTTATGGGTGAATTAGATTATATATGTACTATTTTAGCTTTCTGTAATAACAACCCCTGGAGAGAGTCATTTCCAGCCTTCTGTTTGTGGTGGGACATTGTAAGCAGTTCCACAGTTACAGGGATACAAGTGTGTTTATTTAACTTGAGTTGTCTTTGTTCTTCTTTAGAAGAGATACCTGGCAGCAAAGGTTCTGTCACTCTAAGTGATCTTCCAGGGTTTTTAGGTGATCTGGCCTCTGAAGAAGATAGTGTTGAAAAAGATAAAGAAGAAGGTAATGTGTGTGGATTCTGTGCTTGTATAAAATTGCTGTGAGATGATAAAACTTAATTCTCATTCTGCTGTGAAACAGTGATTTAGTGTCAGTACACCCGGGCTCACTTGGTTTTCTTCCCTTGAGGGGAGAAGTGGGTGTTTTATTCTAGGTCCTATGCCAGGTAAAGGGTTTTTTATCTCCCATTCTGGGTGACAGTGGTACTTGGTAGCATGCAAACCCAAACTACCTGGGCTTATCCAGAGTGAATGTTTACCGTGGTTTCTCTTGTTGCCTTTCCTCTTCTAGCTGCAATATCTAAAGAACTTTCTGAGATCACTACAACAGATGCTGAGCCTGTGGTTCCCCGAGGTGGGTTTGACTCGCCTTTCTACCGAGACAGTCTCCCAGGTTCTCAGCGGAAGACCCATTCAGCAGCCTCTAGTACGCAAAGTGTTAATGTGAACCCTGAGCCTTTAAACTCCTCCCTGGACAAGCTTGGGCCTGACACACCAAAGCAAACCTTTACTCCCATAGACCTGCCCTGTGGAGGTACTGATGAAAGTCCTGTTGGGACCAGGGAACGCCAGACTTCTTTGGAGACGAGTATCCTCACTCCCAGCCCTTGTAAAATTCCACCTCAGAGGGGATTGGGGTTTGGAAGTGGACAGCCTCCCCCATATGATCATCTTTTTGAGGTGGCATTGCCAAAGACTGCCCATCAGTTTGTCAGCAAGAAGACCGAGGAACTATTAAAAAAAGCAAAAGGAAATGCAGAGGAAGATTACGTGCCCTCTACCTCCCCAATGGAAGTACTGGATAGACTGATACAGCAGGGAGCAGATGCACACACCAAGGAGCTTAACAAGTAAGGGACTTGAGGCTGTTTCCTTTTTACTTAAACATTCAATTTTATTATAAAATACAGAAAGTGTAAGGATAGGAATAAAAACCATTCTTCATGCTGTCATCAAGGCAACCATTTATCTTCCTATTCTGTCATATGTCCTTCTAGCTTATTGCCTTTTCATGAATTTGTTTGTTCTCTATGTATGTCCATTAAATTGGAATAATTCCTTGGATACTATTCCATTTAAATATGAGTCTTTCATATAAAGGCCATTTTGTGCCCCACTGCATTTTGAGGAACTCAAAATGCTTTCATATTTGCCCTCTGAAGATTTTGAGGATGAGGTTTTAATATATCAAATAGTACAGGAATATTTGTCACAGTGTCTTCTTCTCTAGCTACAGTTGTTGCCTGAGAGTTTAATCTTTCCATTTTTGGTAACACAGCTCCTTAGGTGAAAAATTCAATCATCAGCATTCTAATGCAAGTTTAGGATAGCCTTACCCCTTACCTCTCCACGATGGCACACAAGGTTTCCTAGAAAGAAACCTACCTATGATGCTGTTTTCAACCCTTCTTCTGTTACCTTTTTTATAAGATATCCAGGGAATGGATATGGAAATAACTAGCCCAGAATTTGAATCCTCTGCCATTTCTAAACAGGTTTTTGGGAGTGTTGGTTTTTATTTTTCAATATAACCTAAGGTGGAATTTGACAGACTGTAATATTTAAGCTTCCTCTTTTTAAGTGGGATTTGGTATAATAGGCTCAGGTAAATTACCTACTGTTTTCCTTAAACTTGGGTGAGAGCAGTTTCCCAACTGAGAACATACATTTCAACAGAAAGGGTTGAAAACAGCTCTGTTTCATCACACGTTGCTTTGGTAGAGCTGACCGGAAAACAGGCCACTGGCAGTGCTGAAGCGGTGTGAGGTTAGTGTTAGGGCTTCTCCACTCTCCTTGGTGATCACAGATAATAGGGCGCCCTTGCAGCTACTGCAAGGCTTTTTCTGCAACTCCAAGTGGACTTTGAGCTTGAAACTTTCTTAGGCTTTGCGAATTTTGACAACAAGGAAAGGATCTAAACTTTCTGCAATTAAAAGTCCAAATAAGTTTTTCTAGGTAACACTGCTAACTTTGTTACTCAAAACTTTCTTCGTAGGTTGTCTTTACCCAGCAAGTCTGTCGACTGGACCCACTTTGGAGGTAAAGTTGTTACTTTAGCTCCAAATCCAGCCCATATGGTTCCTGCTTGTTTGTTGCCTTTTCTGCCCTTGAAGGAGGTGCCCTATAGGAAACATCTCCCTTTGCTACTGCACCAGTGGGTTATCTGCTTGGTTAAAAGCATCTCAAGTGTTACAAAGTCAGCATTTCCTATTTTTAAAAAGTGGCCAGTACCATGTGTATAAGAGAAGTGCAAAAAGTGCAGATGTTTGTGCCAGAAGTCCCTAGAAAAAACCTGAGTGAAGTAAACAGTACTGAGAGAGTTCTTGGGGGCAAAGCCTATTGCTGAAGGAAGGCCCTTGTAAAATAGAAAGGGAGTCTTATGTTTATATATGTGGTCCAGGTTTGGGGGGAAAAATAAATAAACCTCCAGAAGAGTCATCCCACATCATACCACTTTGCATTTCTTTAAAGGGAAGTAGTAAATACTTTTTCCCCCTCTCCGAATGAATGACTGTTGCTCTGAGTAGTCAATTGCAAAATGAGTGGTGATTTGTTTTTTAAGGAATTTTGTTTCTTAAGCTAACAAAAATGGGGGGGGGGGGCGCTGATTGAACTACATGTAAAAAGCATCTCTGCCACCTCCCTCTGCTTTAAAATCAGGCTCTCCTCCCTCAGATGAAATCCACACCCTCCGTAACCAGCTGCTTTTACTGCACAACCAGTTACTCTATGAGCGTTTTAAGAGGCAGCAGCACGCTGTCCGGAATAGGCGGCTCCTCCGTAAGGTGATCCGTGCGGCAGCTCTGGAGGAACACAATGCTGCTATGGTGAGGATCTTTTCCCAGGGAGTGGGAGGGAGGGTTCACTTTTTTTTTTTTTTTTTAATTTTGGGTCAATCTAATGGCTTGTAAAGGCAGTGGCTGAGTCAGTATCGAAGTTCTCATCCTAGCTCTAGCTCTACTCGTTACCACTTGTATGGCTTGGGTCGGGTCCCTTAATCTCTTAGGTTAAGATGTGAGTGGCTAGATCTCTGGATTCCCTTGCAAGAAACTGGTGACAGATGATTGTTTGTAATTGACTATGATGATAAAAGGGTTAAAAGATTATTTTGTTTCTCCAGATAGGAAACCAGCTCTTTGAAAGCTATTTCATGGCATAAAACAAGTGCAGTACAGTATAGTGGTTGTCAAGCCAGTCATACCTGGAGATTGAATCTTGGTTCTACCACTTACTTCCTTAGAAAAGTAATTTAGTCTCTTGAAGACTCTGTTACCCATTCTCTGAAACGGGAATAATAATAGCAGCATCTACTTTATAAGTTGTGAAAGTTAAAAGAGAGAATGTTAGTAAAGCACTTGCTCAGTGCCTGGGACATTGTAAGGGTTCAGTAAATGTTGTTACTATAAGCTTCTTGGGGGAAGAGAAGCTCATGGTTAAGATAGCCTACTTAATCATTTTAATGAACTTAATCAGTACTATGTATTAGAGGTCTCATTCCAGTTCTGGTCTTTAGAACTTTGGAAAGTATTAGGAACAAGCTGATCACTGAGAAAAGTTCTTTAAGTAACTTGAAATCCATTTGCTAATGGGAAATTTGGAAAACCTTGTCCTTAAGCCAGGTAAACAGTAGTGAGCTGTCAGATTCTGGGTCTGTAGTTAACAAGTTTCAGGTTAGCTTACGACTGTTGAGGTGAAATGTTTGCAACACATATTAAACTTGAGCGTTATCACCCATGTTGGAAGGCAGCTAAAATAACATCTTTGGTTTCTGCTAGAAAGATCAGTTGAAGTTACAAGAGAAGGACATCCAGATATGGAAGGTTAGTCTGCAAAAAGAACAAGCCAGATACAGTCAGCTTCAGGAGCAGCGTGATACTGTGGTAGCCCAGCTCCATAGCCAGATCAGACAACTGCAACATGACCGAGAAGAATTCTACAACCAGAGCCAGGAATTACAGGTATAAACTGAACACAGGCAGAATCAACCAAGAGAGGGTGTGAAAGCAAATGGGAAGAGAACAAAACTGTTTCCTTAAATGTTGTCACCTTGTCAGCTTAACTGAAATGAAATATTTTTCTTTCTAAAATCATGGCAGATATATGTATGTCAGATAAATTTTGTTTAGAGCAGAGTTTCCCAAAGTTTCTCAGTTCACAGGTCCCTGAGTGGCTCAGTAATACTTCCTCGTGCTCCTTAGCCGGAAGAAATACCTGATAGTTCTTTTTATTAGGTAGATCTAAATAACTTAATGAGTATTTATGTCCTAACAACCTAGTAGCTATTTTAAAATAATACACATAATTTTTTAAATTAAATTTTAAAAATTAAAAACATTTTAAATTTTATTTTTAAATAATCATAATTACTTACTAAAGCTATGTATGTACCTGTTGGGTACCACACAGCTTCTCAGACCTTGGAATCAGAATGGCCACTGACACCCTTATTCTGGTTCACATGGTACTTGCTTTTTATTACAACCACCACCGAAAACTCGCTTTGTAAAGATACGACGTCATCTACACAAATATAGCACAATCTAATACTGAAGCTGCAGACTACCTCCAGCTAGTTAGTAGTTCACAAGATGTCCGACAGATGTCGCTGTGTTTCCCTCAAAAATTTAAAATTTCTTGCAGCATATCCGTGAGTTTGCTATGTAGCCCCAGGCTCTTTGGTGCACAGTTTGGAAACTGTGGACCTAAGGTCTTTTTTTTTTTTTTGTTAAACAATAAGGAACTTATAAATCAACTATAACTTATTTTTAAAACTAAGAAGTCAAATCTTAATGTCCCACAAATAATAAAGCAATTGAGAAACTAGGCATTACCTGTTCTGAGTGGGCTGAAGGCTAGGTAGGCTTGTGACCTGGCCTGACAATGCCCACGTCTTTTTGGGTAGACAAAGCTGGAGGACTGCAGGAACATGATTGCAGAGCTGCGGATAGAATTAAAGAAAGCCAACAACAAGGTGTGTCACACCGAGCTGCTGCTCAGTCAGGTTTCTCAAAAGGTAAGAGATGCGGCAGATCTTTCTCTGTTCTCACGCCACTTGCTGACATTCTTCCTTCAGACAGGGTAGATATGTGACTTGTGTGTCTCTGTCAGGGGTTCTCAACTGAGGGGGATTCTGACCCCCAGGGGGCATTTGGCAATGTCTAGAAACATTTTTGGTTTTCACAATAAGCGAGGGGCAAGGTAGGTACTGGCATCTAGTGGGTAGAGGCTAGGGATGCTGCTGAACATCCTGCAATGCCCAGGGCAGCCCCCACAACAAAGAATTATTTGGCCTAAGTTAAATCTTGGTCTGTGTGTATACTGTGGAACTCTTAATACCTTGTTTACGTAAATGTAAGAAGTTTGTTCAGGTGTTTGAGCTGTGATTTCTCCCTCTTTGGGCTTCGCTGCACTAGAAGTCATTTACTAAAGAATGAGTGAGTTTTCTCTGGCGCTTTATTCCACTAGATCTAAGGTCTGCTGTGGTAGTTGTATACATGCCCATCTTCTGTAAGCTTCCTGTGGGTGGCCAGGGTAGCTCATTTGTACTTCTTCACCTTTGCATAACATAATTTTGAAGTGCATTTATGTCCATTTTTGTTGCTCTTGAGTGCCTTCCTCCCCTCAATCATTATGTCTGGGAATTTGAAACCATGGGATAGTTCTTTCTGCCCTAGCAGTAAAATAGCAGGTTCCCTCTTTAATGTCCCTTTGATAGTTTTGTGTTGTCAGAATTTTCACTTTGCTTATTTATGTTTTGGTTAGCTCTCAAATAGTGAGTCGGTCCAACAGCAGATGGAGTTCTTGAACAGGCAGCTATTAGTTCTTGGGGAGGTCAACGAGCTATACTTGGAACAACTGCAGAACAAGCATGCAGACACCACAAAGGTATGCTGGGGCTGGGGGAAGCCAAACCCTTACAATCCAGGAAGTATGGAATTCAAGAAGTATGTATAAGGCATGTCATACAGAATGGCTGTATGAATCTCATGTTCCTTAAAAGATGGGGTGTGGGGGAGGGGGAGATGGTCATAGTGTCCATTCTCACCTCTTCGTGGTCTGGGATACAAGCATCACCACCCGTCATGTAAACTTGTTTCTCCTGTTGGGTTGCTTTGAAATTAAGTAAGTGAAAGCCTACTCCAATGAAAACATGTAAGTGAAAGCAAGTAGTAGTAAGTAGTTCATACAGAGTAGGTGCTCTTCATTTCCTCATACCCCCTTTAAAAAAGAGAGTGCCAAAAAAAGGGGGCGGGGGGATGGGGAATCAGTTCTGTTTAACTTAACTGTCAAGACTATGGTTGTATGCTGGTTTACATGTCAACTTTTTTTCTTTTTTTAATATTGAATTTAATTTCAGCAGATGGTGCTTCAGTCCTGGCAGCGAGGCCAGCGTCAGGATGATCTTACGTTAATTAGTGCCTCACCAATGGTGTTGTAGCAGAAGTTTTATGTCACTTTATAAATAGCCTCGGGTAATGTTACTGAATGAGTGGGAATACAATTTTAATAGTAAATGCTCAGATGCTTCCTGTCACTAACTTCTCCATCACACATGGGCCTTCCTTTTAGGATTTCTTGGGCTTGTGCTTTGTAAAGCATCTTTTCTGGCCAAATGTAAAGAGTAGTCTTAGAACGGAAGAAATGTAACTTTCATAGTAGAGTTGCTTCTTGTTTCTCAGCTGCTTGCTCTCAGATTCAGAGTCCTTTTAGAAGGATGTTAAAATATGGAACATTCTCTAGAAACCAGCTATCACTTATTTTGGAGTTAACAATGACTTTGGAAAAACAAAAGGAGGAAAACAAACTTAAGGAACAAGAGAACCTCTGAGAAAGTTTAATTACATGCATTCTTAACATTTCCTAAGAGAAGCGAATATGGGTTGGATTCTGCGGTGCTGTCTCGTTGTTTGGAATGCTTATACTCTCTGTGACCTTGAGCAAATCACCTACCTTCTTTGGATCCAGTTTCACAGTCTATAAACAGGAGTGACTATACTGACGTTTAACAGCTAGGATACTTTCAGTTGTAAGCAACAAAAGTAAACTGGCTTGACAATAAGGAAGTTTCATTATTTTGCTTGATAAGAAGTCCTCAAGCAGGTGAGGTCCAGGTTGGCCAAGCCAGCAATTTAGGGCCATCATCAAGGACCCACGCTCATTCCACTTTTCTGCATTGCCTTACTTACCCTGTCCTCAAGCTAGCTCCATTCATGTGCCCATTTGTGCCCATTGCAAAGAAAGGTGATCCATCAGAATGTGGAGGTTATTGAACAATATCGTTAATATTACACGCAAGTAAAATTTGCTGAAGATAATTCAAAAACGATTGCAACAGTACATCTACAGGGAACTGCCAGAAATTCAAGCCAGATTCAGAAGGGGACATGGAACAAGGGATATCATTGCTGATGACAGATAGATCTTGGCTGAAAGCAGAGAATACCAGAAATTTGTTTACCTGTGTTTTTTTTTTTTTTAATATTTTATTGTACTTCAGGTGAAGGCTTACAGAACAGATAGTTTCTCATGTAACAGTAACACACATGCTGTTTTTTTTATGACATTGGTT